TCTCTCTCTCTCTCTCTCTCTACTCTCTCTCTCTCTGTGTGTGTGCGTGTGTGTGCGTGTGTGTATGTGTGTGTGTGTGGTGTGTATATATATATATATATACATCAGTGTACCACTATACATACAGGAGGATTGGCAATGATCAAGTCCGCACGGTATCTCAGTGGCATACGGTTGCCGTCTGCCCAGTGGGTGGGTCTTATTTCGGCCACACCATCCCATGGCTCATTACACGCATCGTATATTCCCCTCAGTAGCGCTTTGATCCACGCTCTGGCAGAAAGAAGGTGCTGTACGTATCAATACAAACACGCACCATGCAACAAGGACTTCTGCATACAACAGCTCTAGAGTCTAAGTAAAACACTGGAACATGCGGGTCAGGGGGTTTAGTACACTAGTATAACTTGACTTCAATGCACGTTGTAGGAGACGAACGCAATGGAGGTTGTATAGATGTTTACACATACTGAGACATAGCTAGATGCACAGCCCTGTATCCAGAGACCACACCGGCATATATGGCTCAGCACAGGTATAGTATAATACATTTACACGGACTCAATGGTAGGGTTTTAGGGTTTAGGTTTCAGATTTTTAAATCATGGGTGTATTTGTATAAATTCTTAAAAGATGGGTATATACGTATAAATCTTTGCTCAGCAAAAGGTTGCACACACCTAAACGTCTCAACAGCGATACGCTACTGACGCGTAAACGTTATGTGAGCGGAGGCTATATGACACTGATAGGGCTCACGCGTACCAAAGGAGGTGCATGGGGTGTGGCCTCGTACCCGCTTATCTCGTACCCGCTTATCTCGTACGTATACTATAAATAGCCAAAACTCACATCACATATGCCTTTATATCAACAAACAAACAAACAAACAAACAAACAAACAAACTATATCCGCCGTGCTTTTCGCGGTGCAAAAGTTTTAGGGTTTACGTCGCGATTCAGCCCAAAACTGGGGTTTTTTGGGCTCCTTGATTACCGATAGTATTGCGATTTCTAAGTAAATATACCTGTGACCAGGAAGTGTTTTACCCCAAAACTCGGTGGACATCAGGTTGACACCCTCCATAAAAGCCATCAAAAGCTGGAAATGAAATGTTTATAAACAGTTAGTATTAGAGAATTTCCATTGGTCCAGTTGATTTTAGGGCGTTTTATTGGCCCAGTTGATTATAGGGTTCTTTTAATTGATTCAGTTGGTTGTCGGTTTTTTAACCCAGTTTGTCAGAATTCGAATATTAATTTAATGATGAAAAAGGCACATAATACAACGCTTCGATGTTACAATAGAAAGCTCAAACGGGTTTTCTCGTTCCTAAAAGGTTTTATTCGTGAGTACTAAGAAAAGGTATTCGTATTAAAACACTTACTGTGTGTGTATGTGTATAAT